TATATAATTCTTTATCCTATTTTTAAAATTGTATTATTTGCTGAAACTGTACTTCTGATTTGATTTGAAACTGTCTCATTGCTATCTGTATATCAATAAAATTTTGGAAAAAAAAAAAAACAGATGCACCTCAAGATCATAACGTTAAGTGAAATAAATCACACACAAAATCTTGACAATCTTATGGTTTCTCTCACATAAAATACAATGGATAACTGGAAACAAGGAGAGAGATCTTTTGCAAAATGAAAGAGGAGGAAGAGATGCAGAAGAGCAGAGAGAGGAGGAGGAGGAGACAAGGGAAGGAAAGGTGCCGTGCGCATGCACCAACTCCACATGAGGAATTTAATCATTATGCGCTGCAAACGTGAAACAATAGAAATGAAAACCTAATAGAAAAAGGCATGTTTCATGTGTTTTACTCATTTTATAAAATAACATTTTAATTCTTGTTCTTAAAACAATAGACTGCACATGATTTGGAAATGAGATTGCTGAACACTGGCCAAGGAATTGTCCATTCCTTCCCTTTCTTTGCTGTCTGCCACCTCCCATTACTCTTATTCATGTAGTCACCATAGTCTACTTTCCTTCCACAAAAATTCAAGACCTCTTTTTCACATGCTGATATGCTGCGCCTCGAAGACCTGGCCAAAACACAGGTATGTGTCATGTGACTGACATCTATTTGATATGCTTCACTGTCCCCTGGTCACATATCTCATTGTTGCTGGAGAAAAGATGGTGACCAGATTATTCCACCTGTCTCCTAACAATCCTGACCCACTTTGCTCAAGCAGCTGCGCACAACTCAGCGATCTTTCAAGAATCAAATGCTGGCGGCTTCAGGCCATGTCTCCCAAACTGATGAAGCACAGCAGCACAGGTCTTTGAAAAAGCATGGCTCCTACTTTGTTTTTTAACAACTTAATCTTTGTGCTTTTCTTGAGAGCACCACCCTACATTACCTCCAGCCAGGAGCTCGCTTCCAGTGCACAGAGCATGTTTCATGTTCTGAAAAACTAGTCTTTTGTTTTCTAAGCAGCCCTGTGAACAGTCCATGGTTTGCCTTTTGCTGTCTCTGGCACACCCAAGAGCCTGACAGCCCCTCTACCACCATGCTCAGGATGCTGGTGACCACACAGATGCACACTCTAAGGAGACAAAGAGTCCCAGGGGCCCTGTGCCACACACAGGATATGAGCAGACCACACCAACGTTGGCTGCATCATAAACAACAACAAACTGCCTGGAATACTTCTCCCTCTCCCCAGAAGCACACAAAACAACCCTGCCACCATAACTTGTTAAACTATGGCCAGGTAAGCTCTCTACCATCTTTCTGTCCATCCATGTGTCCTTGACCACAAAGCGGACCAGGGACAGAGCACAGCGAGAAGGCACTGGCCTCAGGGAGATGCAATCTTCCAGGACAGAACTTCACTGAGCAAACATGCTACTTGCCATCAAGGACAGGTGAAGACCTGGTCTAGACTCATGGGTGCAAAAGGGCTCCCAACAGAGCTGTATTCAGGCCAATGAGTGGTCCCAGGAAGACAATGGGATAGTGTCCAGGGCCTGAAATAAGAGGAAGGAGGTGACAGAAGAGCCAGAGACGCAGATGAGGACCACTTCCCACAGGGAAAGGCACTGCGGGGCATGGCTCAGAGTGCTTAACTCAGCACTATAAGACACAGCTCAGAGAACTTAGCACTGCAGGAGACAGCTTGGAGTACTCAGTTTATCTCTGACAACACTCACAACCATGGAGAACACTGAGATCAGGCTCAGGAGCCAGGCTGCTTCTCCGTGGAAACCTTGAGCACACACTGAAGATGCAGGGAGGAACAGAATGTAACCTAAGTTTCACAGCACCACCCCCTACACACGCCTTGCTGCCAAACTAAGGGCATTCAGCATGTGTTCCCAACCTGTTCTGTGGCCAGAAGCATCTACTGACAGCATTGTAGTAAGCACCACAACTATTAACAAAGATGTTCCTAACCTTGAATCTGCCAATTCTCTAGGAAGCCCTGTCCCCTTCCTTCCCTTTTCACTCCCCTACCCCTCCCACTGTCATTTTGTGTAGTGCTGAAGATTGAACCCAGGGTCGTGAGCATGCTAGGCAAGTACTCTAACACTGAGCTACACCCCAGCCCAAAGGAATTTTTCAATAGTGGCAGTTGGGCCCAGGGTCCTCTCTGCCACCAAGTCATAGTCCCATCCTAAAGCTGAGATCATTTTTTCTCCCAAGATGGTCTCCTTCTGTGGCCTAGGCTGGCCTCCAGCTTCTGAGCTCTACCCTCAGTGGAGCTGGGCCCACCAGAAAGGCCATGAGACCCAGGAAATGCCTTTGTCTTGACAGAACAGGACATTTCAACACAAAGATACTCAGCACTTCACGTTGTCTCTAGAACTTCCGTAGACAGACAGCAGATTGCCAGGCCTTGCATTCATGTGTGCATAAATGTGTGTACATATGGAACACAAAAGAAATCATGGGGTTGAGAACCACTTTCCATTTCTCTCCCAAGCAATCCAAAGACCACACTGTCACCAAGGTGGGGACTGCTGCCGAGGTGAAGTTGGGGGAAAGGAAACTGGTGCAGAATAGGAGTTGGGTGCAGGGACAGTTCAGTGGGGAACTGAGAATGGGGCTCAGGTCTGGCAGTGCCAGAAGGCACATAATATTAAAGTCAGAGCATCATTCTTCTTGTCATATGGCACTGAACAAGAAGACATGGTAAGGAATTTAACAAAAGGCAAAAAAAAAATGCACACCTTGGAGTGGCACTAACGTACCTGGTAGGCAACTTCCGCCTGCACAGAATCCAGGAAGCCCTGGCTGGCTGGGTAGAGGGCAGAGGCAAACATGAAGTCCTGCCACACCTGGCAAAGAAACACAAGGCAGCAGCGTGCTCAGTGAGTCTCAGCACACAGAATCTCCATCCTGCACCAGGAGACACTGTCCCTTATACCCAGGAAACAGCGTGGAGGACAGGGGAGCCAGCCAAAGGTCTCTTGCTGCCCCAGGGGTAAGCAGATGAGCAGACACCTGAGCAAAAAAGGAGGAGAAATCCAGAGTGCATTGGGGGATGGAAATGAAGCTTTTCCAGAGCCTCACATTCCTAATGCTAACTTCCACTGCCCATTAGGCTTTGGGAGATGCCCGAGAGTGACAAATTATTTGTCCTTGTTATGTGCATGTAACAAGGTCCCACTAAGTCACTAAGTTGCTGGGAATGGCCTCAGACTTTCGGTCCCTCCTCCAGAACCTCCCATGCGGCTGTATGCCGCTATACTGGCGTGACACTGGATTTATGGAGGAGCTGACTCTACTACAAGTTCACCTCAGTAATGAGATCACAAAGCCCCTCCTGGGAGACTGTGCACACAGGGTTAAAGCCACAGCCCCAAAGCAGCTGCTTGCCCAGAGCCTTCTCCACCAACTGTGGAAGCTGGGCTCAGTTAAGGTTTCTTCTATTGTCTTTATGATGATTTTTAAATCTTATTTACCTATTTATGTATTTATTTACTTGGTATAGGGTCTCACTGTGTAGCTCAGACTCGTCGTGATCCTCCTGTCCCAGCCTCCCCAGCGTTGGGATTACAGGTGTGTGTCACCACGCCTGGTCTCGGGGGCCAGCACAGTGTACCCAGGGTTCTGGGGATGGCACGGCATGAGGTACTGGGGATCGAACCTGGGTCCTTGTGCTTACCAGGTAGTACTTAGACTGCCAAACTTCCTCCCCAGCCCTCAGTAAAGGTTTCTAACCCCATAACACACCAGCTTCCTCATCTGTAAATGCAAAGGTCAACAGTGACCCTTCTTTGGCAGGCGGGAAAATAACAAATAAAATACAGTAAAAGCAGAGCTACTATAGCAAGGCTCCACAGAGCCTCGCACCAGTCAGCCGGTCGAGGTCACCACTAACCCTGCTGTCCACGGTGCTGTGCATCCTGTAACTGTGAGGCCAGTGTGGGAACAACAGCACTGCTCTCTACATACCTGAACCCAACCAGCTGTGGATCAGAAGTGTTAAAAAAAACAAAAACAGAAATCATACCTGTCCAGAGCACTGACAGATACTGCCCTCACTGCTATTGCCCAAACAATGCAAGGACCACAGTCCGGAGTCTGTGAAGTACTGGGACATGACATGGGTTAGATGCAACCTCTCTACCGCACCACGCCGGGGTCCATGGTGTAGGGGCGGTGGGGTGCAGGCCCACAGACACTGAGGGAGGACGCTCCCTCTGTCAGCCTTCCCCTGTGCAGGACACTGAGCATGCCCTGGCCTTACTGGCTTTAGCAGCCTCACTCTCTGGAGAATCAGAGATGCTTACAGTTGCACTGTTTCTCTGATGCATACTCACCTATCACAAAGAAAGTGTAGGCAGAGAGATACTTAGGACCAACATGTGGAAGGGTTCTCATGCGGAAATAATCAGACAACTCCAATATCCTCTGCCAACGGAGGTCTGGGTTTACGATGTGTCACACGTCCCATTGACAAGACATGGGTCACCACGGGTCACTGTTGTCACACACCCCAGGACTCACCATGACCCCCAGCTCGTCACAGAGCTCGTAGAAGGCGTCCTGCTCGTAGATGCCGCCTCCCCACACCCGCAACGCATTCATGTTTGCATCCACAACCGACTGCAGAAGGAGCCGCAACCTGAGAGGAAACCAGCAAAACAACGTGCGTTCAGGCATCTTGGGATAGTAAGGAAGACTTCTAAACATTTTGTCCCTTAGAAGCACACTCCTGAAAAATCATGATTTGCATAAAATGTCAATGAATGAAAGCGAGGATGAAACAGTACACACAGCAACTGTATCACATAAAGGAAACCAACTGAAAAATTATGAATGACACCTTGTTCTAAGTTTTCTGCTTTTAAAACAATTTTTATGGTTTATTCCTATGAAGATATGTTGTGCAAACCCTAGAAGGCGTGTTCATTTTAGGGAACCATTTCAAATAGTAAGCCAAAACTGAAGTCTTTTCTTATTTTCTGAGTGAGGGTCTCACAAAGCCAATGACATATAACCCTCCTGCCTCAGGCTCCCAGAGAGATTATATGCTGAGATTATAAGCATGCACCACCACGCCCAGCTGAGAATTCCATTTTCTTATGAAATCGAAAATAAGATATATATTTTGAAAAAGGAAATTTCCACAGGTTTTAGCCAAATTAGAATTTAATTATTAACCAATTTCCATTCTAAGCACCAAATAATATACCATAATGCATATATACATTTTTGTAAATGAGTTAAACCAATTAGGAAATATTTTCATCTAAAGGTATATTCTCAAGACCTCAAGAAAACACTTCTAATTTTTTTGTAGAACTAAAATATTTCATGACTTACTTTTAAAAGAAGTTTTATTGTATTTTTAAGGCATAGAATATGATATGGCATATAAAACAGATTACTACATGAAGCAAATCAATGGATCCACCACTTTGCAGAGTTGGACATTTTTCTGATGTGTTTTTAGTGGGAAGCAGCTGAAACCTCTCATCTCTCACAAATCCCACAGACGGCACAGCACAGTGCCTGGGGCTGTGCTTACACCAGGTCCAGCCCACGCCCTGCGACTGCCTGTCCTCTCCCTCCTCTCCCTAGTCCCAAGACTTTTAAAATTCTTTCATTAGGGTTAAAGATAATTCTCATGTAAGAAGATAAAGTGCTGACAAGATAGCTCAGCAAACTAAGCTCCAGCTTTGGCAAGCACAGGGACCAGGGTTGATCCCCAGTCCCGCATGCCATGCCAGCCCTGCCCCCAGGTTGCGCTGAGCCGGCAACAGAGTCTAGGCAGGCTAGTGCATGACTATAATCCCAGAGCTGAGGAGGCTGAAAACAGGAGAAT